AAACAAAAACAACAATAACTACAGTAATATGTACTAATACTAGTCAATTTAGTCAATCTTGTACCTGTGTGGATCTGACTACATCTTGACATGTATTCGGGTGTTGTTCTGTAACTTAAATCAAGCCCATCACTGTCAGGCTGGGACATCTCGGACTTGACTGGAATTCCAGGTCTCCCGCCTCCGCCTGGGAAGTTCTCGCACCACAGCAGCCCATCGTGACAACCTCAACGCCATCGAAAGGAAGACAAGGCCGATCCAGGCTGCCCTTACTGCACCAGAAAAGAGCCAGTTTCAGGCCCCGGCAGAGGCCAAGGGCAAACGCGATCGAAACGGGTTCTGCTTGGCGGTCCCACGAGCCCTAGCCCTTGCCCTGGCCTCGAGGCAATCAGCAGCCACTCATGAGGACAGCACAAGCACCGCAAGCACCGGGTTTCTTATCAAATTCTGAGCTTTTTCATGGCGCAGCTCACCCAAGACATGCCCCAACTAAAACTCAAAGCTCCTATTGAGCTCAACCTGCACGTCTATTCCCATTCAAGCACGCGATCTGAAATGCGCATCTTCTAGGGCCCTGATTCCCACCCGGAATCGTTCAATCGATCTTTCGAATACAGCCCTATGCATAACCACCTGCTCTGCAAAGACGGTTCTGGTGCACCTTGACTGGGCACCCCCGGCTGAACGCAGGGACTGGAAGGCAGCAGGTGCAATGGCAAAACGGGCGCTTGGCAGTGCAAGCCTGTGAGAACCTTGTTTGAACGCTGGATCCAGACATGTTGAAGCTTTGAAGGGGGAAATCTCCACCCAACACAATGACAAGTGTCTGACTTCCTTAAATCTGCTGGTTAACTGGCGATGCAGCATTTAATCGAACGGAACAAAAAGAAGGACGCTATCTATAATCTGTTCCATTCACATGGCTCGTTAAAGTTGATGCAAGAGTGCATGTGGTGGACTGTATGTGCAAAGTGTGTGCAACCCATGTGACATCTAACATGCACCCAGCAGCAGCTTGCAGAGATTCGTGTGATAATCCAATTTTGGTCAAATCTTCTTGGACTTCTGATTGGTTTCCACCGGGTTCCCTCGACATGCGTCAACTAATGTGATTCCAACAGGTTTCGTCAGTAGATGTCGGTGGTCGTTGTCTATATGGAGCATTTCCGATGCACTTGCAGGGTGCAAGCTTCTGTCAGGCTGCTTAAAATGCTGCGGCACATCATCCGTAAAGTGAAGATTTTTTTCTGATTGGTGCAGTGTTGGCACTGTCCTCGACTGTCCTCCTCTTGAAGTGCTGTTCTTCCTTGGCTTTCTGAGTCTTTGATTTTTTCCTGGACTTCCTGGAAAGCTGTTCTTCCTTGACTTTTTGGGACTGCTACAAGTTATTCGTCTTCGATTTCCGGCCAGATCTTTTTCGATCATTCGGGCTCACGTCCTCAGATGCCACAACGCCGCTTTTGGGCGTTCAAGGTGAGGAGACGGCGTGAGACGGCGTGAAAGTGGGCCATGGGCCTGGCACCGCCAAGGGCTCTTTAATGATTAAGAATCCAATTTAATCCAAGTCTTCAAAGTATTTGTAACTATAATGCCCATGTGATCTGGATAGTTCAAAAGATAACTTTTGGAACCTAAATCAATGCTCACCGTTGATGCCTCTTCAAATGCATATCAAATCTGAACAGCATCTCTGATAAGGTGGGCTAGGAAGGCGCCTTCGCCAAGTGACGAAAGCCAAGCGCACCGCCTGGCAATGTTCAGACTCGATCCTCGAAAAAAACGAAAAGTCCTGGTTGCAACAAGGATGGACATATTCTTTTTGCATCTGTTTGCTTCAGTGGAGAAGTGCTTGGATGAAGCGGATGGAATAGCATCCAATGGATCCACCATGTCAATGTCTTCCATTTTGGCAGATTCAATCCCCATAGCTGGTCGGAAACTCCCATGTTTTCCAATTTGGTGTCAGCAACTCATGTTGTCGGCGTCACCCAGAGCACCACCGAGGCTTTGGCCAACATGGGCAGTCACAGCCCAAAGCATGTTGAATGATGGAGCTAACCATCCCAAGTATGGATGGAAGATGGAAAATGTGAGTTAAACCACTAACCAGTTGACAATTGCAGCGTTTTTTTCGCCCTACTCGAGTAGACAGGAAGAAAAATACCCCTGCAATTTAAAGGATGGTTAGCCACCTCAAAAAACGAGATAAGACTGTAACACTCGAGTTCCCATACATTTGGGACTGTATCAAACAGCCGAACAAGTCGATCTTTGTGGCCTCTACACAGGCCGGTGCCTCCATGAACGCATCTGAGTTTCCTCCTGGCGGCTTGAAACTGCTGGGGCCGTGCAGAGTTTTTGCTTTCCGACTCGTTGCAGAGACTTGTTCGCTTGGTTCGGTGGAAGAATGGCGATCGTTTCTTGTCGTGAAAATATCAAAACGAAAATGGCTGTGTGTCCTATCGGGTACGCTGGTAATATGTACGAACTTCCTAAGCAAAATATGAAGTTCTAGTTCTAGTCACTGGCCCTGATCTATTACCAAAAAAAATAGTTTTGGCAACCTATCGATTGGTCCCAAAAGGTCCAAAATAGTTTCCATATCTCCAGGCTGAGGCAGCATTTCTAAATTATTTTGCAGGGTCGGGATATACAGCCAAAGCCAAGTGAAAAAGTCAGGAGCCCCGAAAATAATTTTGAATATGTTTCGGACTGTTTTTTCTTCATCCAGAAAAATGTCAAAAGGGTTTTCAAAGTTCAGAGCGTCTTTTCCAAAACTTGGACGAACAAAACAAGGGGTTGACATTGAGAACATCTGCCATCATCTGTTTCAGGGGCAATATATATGTCAAACAAAAAGGATTCAATGTCGACAAAATCATTGACAGAAAAGGCATCCATGTGGGAAGCATGATATGAAACAAAAAAAGGTTTCGCATTAAGAACAGTTGCCACAAAAGGCATCCATTTTGGGGGCATTGTGTCAAACAAAAAAGGTTCAATGCTAACAACATCTTTGACATGAAAGGCATTGGTTTTGGGGGCATCAGGTTTCAACAAAAAGTAGGTTTCACGCTGAGAATTAAAAAGTCTTTGCTGAAAGGCATCCATTTCGGGGGCATTTTGCTTTAAAAGAACTGGCTTCACATTGAGAACATCTTTCATACCGGCATCCATTTTGGGGGCATTGTGTCAAACAAAAAAGGTTCAATGTTGACAACATCTTTGACATGAAAGGCATTGGTTTTGGGGGCATCAGGTTTCAACAAAAAAAAGGGTTCACACTGAGAATTGGAAAGTCTTTGCTGAAATGGCATCCATTTCGGGGGCATTTTGCTTTAAAAGAACTGGCTTCACATTGAGAACATCTTTCATAAAGGCATCCATTTTGGGGGCATTGTGTCAAACAAAAAAGGTTCAATGTTGACAACATCTTTGACATGAAAGGCATTGGTTTTGGGGGCATCAGGTTTCAACAAAAAATAGGTTTCACGCTGAGAATTAAAAAGTCTTTGCTGAAAGGCATCCATTTCGGAGCATTTTGCTTTAAAAGAACTGGCTTCACATTGAGAACATCTTTCATAAAGGCATCCATTTTGGGGGCATTGGTCAAACAAAAAAGGTTCAATGTTGACAACATCTTTGACATGAAAGGCATTGGTTTTGGGGGCATCAGGTTTCAACAAAAAATAGGTTTCACGCTGAGAATTAAAAAGTCTTTGCTGAAAGGCATCCATTTCGGGGCATTTTGCTTTAAAAGAACTGGCTTCACATTGAGAACATCTTTCATAAAGGCATCCATTTGGGGGCATTGTGTCAAACAAAAAGGTTCAATGTTGACAACATCTTTGACATGAAAGTCATTGGTTTTGGGGGCATCAGGTTTCAACAAAAAATAGGTTTCACGCTGAGAATTCAAAAGTCTTTGCTGAAAGGCATCCATTTCGGGGGCATTTTGCTTTAAAAGAACTGGCTTCACATTGAGAACATCTTTCATAAAGGCATCCATTTTGGGGGCATTGTGTCAAACAAAAAAGGTTCAATGTTGACAACATCTTTGACATGAAAGGCATTGGTTTTGGGGGCATCAGGTTTCAACAAAAAATAGGTTTCACACTGAGAATTAAAAAGTCTTTGCTGAAAGGCATCCATTTCGGGGCATTTTGCTTTAAAAGAACTGGCTTCACATTGAGAACATCTTTCATAAAGGCATCCATTTTGGGGGCATTGTGTCAAACAAAAAAGGTTCAATGTTGACAACATCTTTGACATGAAAGGCATTGGTTTTGGGGGCATCAGGTTTCAACAAAAAATAGGTTTCACGCTGAGAATTCAAAAGTCTTTGCTGAAAGGCATCCATTTCGGGGGCATTTTGCTTTAAAAGAACTGGCTTCACATTGAGAACATCTTTCATAAAGGCATCCATTTTGGGGGGCATTGTGTCAAACAAAAAAGGTTCAATGTTGACAACATCTTTGACATGAAAGGCGTTGGTTTTGGGGGCATCAGGTTTCAACAAAAAATAGGTTTCACGCTGAGAATTCAAAAGTCTTTGCTGAAAGGCATCCATTTCGGGGGCATTTTGCTTTAAAAGAACTGGCTTCACATTGAGAACATCTTTCATAAAGGCATCCATTTTGGGGGCATTGTGTCAAACAAAAAAGGTTCAATGTTGACAACATCTTTGACATGAAAGACATTGGTTTTGGGGCATCAGTGCATCAGGTTTCAACAAAAAATAGGTTTCAGAATATTTCACACTGAGAATTCAAAAGTCTTTGCTGAAAGGCATCATCCATTTCGGGTGCATTTTGCTTTAAAAGAACTGTGCAAAACACAAAGACCGGGTTAGAACCCTGGGGAACCAACCCTCACTTGACTCACGTTTTCCACGGCTGCGAACAGATACATTGATCATAGCCAAAAGGACCGAGCTGGAGGTGCCAACAAGTTATGCAGGCCCCCTTGACTTCGACTGCGTGGTCGGCCGAAGTCACAGCTCAATGCAATGCAAGGCGATGTTCGCCATCTGCATACTCCAAATTCATCATGTTCACCAAGTCCACCACTCGAGCACTGTCCAGGTGTTTCGTACCCAGATCGGCACAGTTCACCTTTGTGCCTGTTTTCTCAAGTTTCAAGTCGCCATCTTGCACACGTTGTTGCAACCACAAGTAGCATCTGTCGATATGTTTGGCCTTACCATGGCCCCTTCTGCTCAGCATAGATTTTGCAGCACTCGCATCAAAAACCAGCACACCGTCAAATTCACTGCCCAAGTCTTTCATTGTAGCAAGAGCTCCCAACAGTGTAGATCCAGCCTTGATTCCCCCATAGAACTCTGATTCTCCTGAGGAAAGTGCAATCACATGCTGTGTTGACCTGTAAAATTTCAGCAAGTGTTGACCATGAAAAAGGCATCCACAGCTTGTTGACTTCCGTGTCTTCAAGCAACCAGCGTCATCGCTGTCTGTGAAAATTTTGAGCTGCAACTGCTCCTCCTGCTGCGGGTATCTCCAGATCAGACGTGGTCGTCCAAGAAGAAACCTTGCAAGCCGCTTCAAGCCGCTCCAGTCCCCTGCAGTAGGTTGTTGCATTGCTCTGGCCAACTCCTTTGCTGCATAGTTGATGTCTGGCCTGTCCAAGGCCAAATAGTTGCATCTCATAGTCAGGCTTCGAAACCTCTTCTTGTCCAAATCATTCAGTGGTGTTGTATCCGGATCTGCTTTCGCCACTCCAGGTGTTCCCACTGACTTGCCATCTCGAAGCCCAAGCTCATCAATGACGATTTGCACATGTCGTGGATCAGCCTCAATTGTAGTCTCGGTCTCCCCATAGTGGATCAACCTGTTCAACAATGAAACATCTTGCACATCTGTACTGTCTGGTCCCAGCAACCCTCCAAATTTGATCTCATACCTCTCCAGCATCTTCTCCTTCAGCCAAAGTAGGTCGGCTTCAAAACCTAAAGCCGTCACATCATCTCCATGTATTGAAACCTTCAGGTCTCTGAAGGGATTGCAAAAGAGAACCGGACTCCCAAGTCCCGGTGCAAATCCGCAGCAAGTGAAGAAGTCTGTGATCTCCAACTCCCAGCATGCTGCTGCGTCACGGCAGCCATACATTGCTTTGTTCAGCCTGCCGCACATGCCATCGCCAACACCAGATTCTTCTGGCAACAAAACAAACACTGCCCGAAAGATTTTGGCACACCAATGAGCCCTCCGCACATCAATGAACATGACCTTCTTCCGACGGCCCTTCTTGTCCACCTCTTTGCCAGTGCGTTGTAGGCTCAAAAGCATTCTCACCGATTCCAAAGGCGGTGTCGCTGCAAAGATTGCCTCGATGTTGGACTGTCGCACTTCCTGCACCACAAGCCTCGATCTGTAAGCAGGTCGCTCGACATCGCCCTTGTTGATGTCGATCCATCGAGTGCCAATTGGGGCCTTTCCAGAAACTTCATAGGCCTCCGAAACTGGCACCACTGTCCAAACATTGTAGCGCTCGGCATACTCAATCTCCTCACGCCGGGCTGCCATCACCATAGACTTCTCCAAAGCCTTGCCCGAAACTTCATCTGTAAAAGTTTCCCAGTCTTCCACCAACCCAAGATCCAAATCTTGCTCTTGGTTCACCGGCCCAAAATCCAAAGCACTCAAAGGAATCTTCTGTCTCAAATGTTTTCTCAAACCTCTCAAAATGCTTCTGATAAGGCCGTTGGGATAGACCTCACATTGTTTTGCCTTGCCGCCCATCAGCGGTATGTGCCTATGCCACTTGCGACCAGCTCTCACAAAGTAGAAGATGGTCTCCACTGCTGTGCAACCTTCTGGTAACTTGAACTTCAACTCCTGTGGACTCGCATTGTGGACATCTTTGAGATCCTGTAGCAAAATGCCGCTCTCCAAGTCCAAAGTGACACGCCGTCTGACTGACGACCAAGCTGGCCCACCACGTTGAACTTTCTGACCCCTCTTCACATCGTATGCTGTCTGACGCCAAACTGCTAAAGCGTCAGGCTCATTGCTGCATTGTTTCGACAACTCCTCTGCAATGAACTTGCTGTTGGTCAGGTAGGTGGTGCTCTTCTTTGCTAAGCCAGGTCCATGGTCATCCTCCAACTCCATGCCTTGCTCACACATGTCACCAGTCACTCGGAGAACTCCAGGTAAATTCTCCACCCGTTGAATGGCCTCTGATTTCCAGGATTTCGCCAATGCCGGGTGTTCATGCAAAAACAACTTCTGCCGGGCATGTCTTTTGGCATACTGCTCGGCACAAAATTCCAGGTGCTGTTCGGCTTCTGCAAGAGTCTCTGCCCGCTTCTGCGGGTCCATTTTGTTCTCATTCAGCGCCTGTAGTTGCGAATATGGACCACACGGTGGACTGCCGATTAAGAGGTCGGGATCCAACCACTCCACCAGCTCTGTTGCTCGTTGTCGGCAATCTTCCAAAGAAAAATTCCAAGGTCTGCCCTGTTCATCCATCGTAGTCAGGTCCATCGCCACACCATCTCCGACACGCATCCGTCTGGCGTAGTCGGTCACTCGAGGTGGTGAAAACAACTCCACAATTGCAGGCCTCCCGAAGTCGTAAGCATCACGCCTCGAGATAGCTCCAACCTGCAACAACAATCGCCTGCTCTCTATCTCCTCGTCCATCATCATATCAGCTGTCTCGCAGAGACTGGCCTCTCTCACTGCCTCCTTGAAGGATGTCTCACCTCCAACACTCCTCACATGCAAGCTCCCAATGTCCATTGAAGACGGTGCTGCACTGCCCGAAGGTTCCACGGTTCCACGCCTCCGGCAGTGTGTGCCCCAGCGTCATCAGCCTCAATCTCATCCTCCATGTCCGAGTCTGGAACCGGAACAGCAACTCCACTCGGCTGACTGTCGCTAGGGCCCCCTTGACCACCATCATCATCGGCAACAGGAACTGCCACGTCGCCAAGGATGTCTTCCAAATCTGGTGCAACCTTGACGGCCTTGGAAGACTTGCCATCACCTGCATCCAAGGTCTTCTTTTTCTCCTCTGCTTGCTGATAGGCAACGATGAACTTTTCCTCTCTCTCCTTGATGCGGTCCAACCTCTGTTGACCCTCTTGCGTCTTGGCCATCTGCTCACTGATGCGCTTCTTGCAGGCTCTCGAATGTTGCCGATGCGAAAGCCCATGTTTTGCAGCATCGCACCCATCACATCCATCAGTGTAGCCATACTGTTTCAACTCTACATCTCTTCTGATGTAGACTCCACGTGGTATGTAGCCCTTTTGCTTCTTTTCAACCTGCACTGCTGGTACTTCTGGTTGTCCAGGCAGCTCAATGTCCAACTCCAAGTCTGGCGCGGGCTTCATGCCAGCCTCTCTCGCCACCGGCATCTTCAATTGCCACGGCAAGCCCACGAAGCTCTCAAAGACCTCCGCTTGCCACTTGTCCTCCTCCGCCAGAGTCTTTGTAGTCCATGTTCGAACCACACCATTGGGTGTTCCAACCCATCTCATGCCGGTGCCCTCCTGGATGCCCAAGTAGATGCCTTTCTCGAACTTGGCCTCCAGTTTTCCTCTCTCACGCTCACCCTTGAGGGGCTGATAGAGGATGCACTCACCAAACTCTGGCAGCTTGATCTTCCAAGCTTTCCCTGTGGACCTTTCGTACGGTGTCCGACCATCAGCTCCACGTTGAAATCGGGAAAGCAAGGTTCCACAGTAATCCACCAGCCAGCACAAAATGGGATGCCGAGGTGGAATGGCCAGCTCATAGTTGAATTCCAAAGCGCTCTTCAAAGTGCGCGCTTGCGCTTGCAATCTTCCAACCGCAGATTCAATTGGCCCATTGGTCTGAGACTCGCCCTTGGTGGCATCTTCAAAGCTCAAATTCGGCAGCTGTTGTTGAACTGCCGTCCGCAAAGCCACCAGGGACCTCTCCGTGTCGGTCTTCAGGACTGAGTGCTGATGACCCAAGATCTTGATCAACTTGGTCACCACTGCCGCATTGTATTGATGCCCCAGGCCTTTCATGGGAAGGCTCACTGAAAACACCCTCTGAGTTGCCTGGTCCAGGATTGCCAAAAGTGGCAAAGCTTCATTCGGCTCCTCTTTGCGGCCCAAGTAAAAATAGTCCATGAAGATCCGTGGGCGAACATCTCTGGCCTTGTCCAAACCTCGAGATCCACTTTTGTGTGCCAATGTCCGACCTTTGCCACGGACACAATGCTGGCACCATGATCGATATGGCACATGAGATACATTGTGTTGACGTATCTCCTCTGAATTCGGCTTCACCGGAGACCTTGCAATCCCAAACGAATGCCGTCCTCCTCATACTCTTCATGCCGCTCATCTTGAGCATCCAATTCAAAGTCACCCTTCTCCTCAGGTTCTGGCCCCAGGGAAGGTTCATAGTCGTCCTCATCCTCTCCACCAAAGTGGTCCAACCGAAGGTGCTTCGGTTGAGGCACTTCTTCATGCTGTCGTCCGTCATCTGCTGCTTCATCCAAAGCAGCGAGTATTGGGCTGACGGGACTTACAGCAGGGTGTTCTCCACTCAAAGCCGAGTGGGAACCATCCATGGTGCCGGCCCTTGAAAACCCACATTTCGAGGATGTACTGTTCGGAGATATTGGACGTACACCCCATCTTCCTGCCAGATCTTCATGTACTCCTCTGTCTCCATGTCATAGATGTAGCTGTTCTCACCATTCGGAGTGAGCACAATCACATGCCCTCGATTGGTGATCTCGGCAGCTGACAGCAAGATCTTGTTCACCTGAGCCACTGAAAACTGTGTCTCCTTCAGACAGCCCTCTTCCGTCATGACCACGGGCCGCACCTTGTAGAGTTCCGGCACCAAATCTCCACTGGCCGAAACAAACTGCAAATTGGGATCTGGAGGATAGTGATGTTCATCTGGGAAAGCACCAGGCGGACACACCGAAGCCGCTGCACCACTGTCAATGGTCACCACAAAGCTTCGACCACCAACTCGCAACTGTCTCATCCTCCAGGCCAACTGTCTGAAGTCACCCTGAGCTGCACGCCGACCCATCTCATCCAGACGATCAGCGATGTATTGATCTCGGCGACTCAAAGCACAGAGCCTCTTGATCACAAGGCTCCCGGTCTGCACTGGAGGTGGCGGACTCATCGATGAATGCCCCGGTGATGTTGGTGAAATAGGTGTAGACGCCGGCAAAGGTGTCGATGGTTGAGCTGGTGATGTTCTGCGCTGGTACTCCTCCATGGCCGCACGAGCATATTGAGACTGCAGCTCTTTCAACTGAGGGTCCACCGCATTCAATGGTTTGATTGACTTGTGCCAACACTGTTCTTTGAGATGACCAACCTTGCCACAATTCTGGCAAACTTTGTCTCCCTTTTTCCCAGCTCCTTTGCCCTTGCCATCGAACTTGGACTTCCCTTTGCCCTTTCCTCCACCATCTTTTGATTTTCCTTTTCCATCCTTTCCCTTTGCACCTTTCTTGCCGTTGCCCTTGGACTTGCAATCTTTCTGAAGGTGAGGACCGCCGCAAAGGAAACAACCTCGTTTGTCTAAGGAGCCCACATCCATAGTCGTAGCTGTCACTGGTGCCACTCCAGGTAGGTCGTGAATCTCACGGCGTTCAGCTGTAAATGCTCCTGCAGCTTAGCTGGGCACATGTGAATCAGTGCCGCCATCCTCATGCTGTCACTCACCTTGTCTGCTCCAGGCCTCGACTCATAGTCGACGATGCGATTCTCCCAGCTCACGATCTCACTGGCCAACTTGTCAATGGCCACATGCCCCGTCGGATTAGTGATCCGAATCAGGCTCGCCCTCTGTCTGCCCAATGTAGCCGGGTTGAACCTCACCTGCAGCAATCTGAAAGCCTCAGCTCCATTCGGTCGTCGAGCTTGACGAACCAAACTCCGAGCCTCACCATGTGCACCAGTGTACGTCGTCAGAATGGCATACACATTGCTCTCTGCATAATCCAGCAAGAGTGGGTCCAAGTGGTGGAACTTGAGCTTCAAGGCGTTGACATCCAAGGGTGTCTTGGGCTGAGAGTTCACGATCCATTCCAAAACTTCGTAGATTCCAGGCATCGTTGAATCACACAGCGTAATGATGCTGTCCGTCCAATCCTGAAAACTCAGCTTCGAACTTGTAGGATCGTATGTTGTCGGCTTCCCAATTGCTCTGCCATCAATGCCACCCTGTTGTATTGCATAGGCAACCGCTGCACTATATTGTTGTGACCCAGTTGCACCACTACCACCATACATCGGATTCAAACCAGGTACAGCCCCGGCCCCAGGTACAGCCCCGGTCCCCGCCGGTGGTGGTGTCCCAATCGGGAAGCTTGGAATACTTTGTCCAGCCACTGGTGTCGATGGAGCCGGACCATTCACACCAGGTCCTCCGGTTGCAGTCACACCGGCAGGACCACCTGTCGCCACTCCACCATGACCTGAGACGCCTTGCTGCATGTGTTGCATCTGTGTCTGAATGCCCTGAACTGCAGCTCCAATCTGTTGAAACTGATCTGCAGAAACCGCTTGTTGCAGCTGTGTCTGAAGCCCAGTCATCGTCTGAGCCAACTGCGCGATCTGGTTCTGGGTGTCCAAATGCGATTGAGCCACTTGTTGCATCTGATCCTGATTGGTCTGTTGTCCCTGAGCAAATCCAGCTTGGACTTGTTGCACCACCTGCTGCACAATCTGCTCAGTACTAGTAGTCTGCTGTGTGGTCTGCACCGCAACACCAGTTCCTTGGACGGCCTGTCCAAGATCATCCAACCTCGTTCTCTGCTGTTGTTGTTCCGCCAGGATCTGTTGGAGAACTGTCCCAAGCTGCTGCAAATCCATCTGCTGTCCCCCATCACCGCCTGCTGCCATCTCGGTGAGGAAAACTGCACCAGCCAAAAATACAACAGCGCCCAATAGTTGAAACACCCACCACACTGCACGATTTCCGGTTAGCCAAAAAGGCCTTGGGCTTACACCCGCCAGACTGATGCTACCTGCAGCCCCTGTTCGACGTCTCAGATTGCTGGTTGTTGAGCGGCCCAGCTCCGCTACCATGCAAAACACAAAGACCGGGTTAGAACCCTGGGGAACCAACCCTCACTTGACTCACGTTTTCCACGGCTGCGAACAGATACATTGATCATAGCCAAAAGGACCGAGCTGGAGGTGCCAACAAGTTATGCAAACTGGCTTCACATTAAGAACATCTTTCATAAAGGCATCCATTTTGGGGGCATTGTGTCAAACAAGAAAGGTTCAATGTTGACAACATCTTTGACATGAAAGGCATTGGTTTTGGGGGCGTCAGGTTTCAACAAAAAAAATTTGTCACGCTGAGAATTCAAAAGTCTTTGCTGAAAGGCATCCATTTCGGGGGCATTTTGCTTTAAAAGAACTGGCTTCACATTCAGAACATCTTTCATAAAGGCATCCATTTTGGGGGCATTGTGTCAAACAAAAAAGGTTCAATGTTGACAACATCTTTGACATGAAAGGCATTGGTTTTGGGGGCATCAGGTTTCAACAAAAAAAAGTTTTCACGCTGAGAATTCAAAAGTCTCTGCTGAAAGGCATCCATTTCGGGGGCATTTTGCTTTAAAAGAACTGGCTTCACATTCAGAACATCTTTCATAAAGGCATCCATTTTGGGGGCATTGTGTCAAACAAAAAAGGTTCAATGTTGACAACATCTTTGACATGAAAGGCGTTGGTTTTGGGGGCATCAGGCTTCAACAAAAAATAGGTTTCACGCTGAGAATTAAAAAGGGTCTTTGCTGAAAGGCATCCATCTCGGGGGCATTTTGCTTTAAAAGAACTGGAATCACATTGAGAACATCTTTCATAAAGGCATCCATTTTGGGGGCATTGTGTCAAACAAAAAAGGTTCAATGTTGACAGCATCTTTGACATGAAAGGCATTGGTTTTGGGGGCATCAGGTTTCAACAAAAAAAAGTTTCACGCTGAGAATTCAAAAGTCTTTGCTGAAAGGCATCCATTTCGGGGGCATTCTGTTTCAGGCAAAAGAGGTTTCAATGTTGAGAACATGCCTGTCATAGAATGCATTCATTTCGGGGCGATGGTACAAAAAAGTGGTGTCTTCGGTCATGAAGGGCATCCAGTTGGGGGCACTATGATTCAGCCAAAACGGGCTTCAATGTTGAGACATGTTGAGACCATGTCTGCCATAAAAGGCATCCCTCATCCATTTTTGGGGCGCTAGTTTTCCACGCAAAAATGTTTCAATGTTGAAAATGTCTTCAGAGTTGGGGGCTGGGGGCCAGTAGATTTTCACAAAAATGGGCCACCTTACGGCAATCACATGCAAGATCAATCATCAAAATTGTGGATCTCCACTTCACATTGCAGTCAACTAGACTGTTTTCAAATGAAACCACCGAAATCCCTGCGCTGGCACCCTGCAAAATGGAAGTCACCCTCATGATCTACGTCGATAGCAAATCAAAATATGTCCGAATTGATCCGAATGGTGACTACTTTCCAAAGCCAGAGCAAGACCGAGAGATCATGTTTGAAGGTTGATCAATGCTCTTGGGTGCAACTCCACAAACCTCATGAGATTCAGCAGCCTATGCCCTACTTCCAAGGCCATCCCACTTCGTCTCCTGCCAAAGGAACGGCGGCCTCTTGATCCGCCATGGCCCGGCGCCACATCACAGGCTCAAAAGCGCTGCCGGACTAGTGGATGAAGTGGATTTTAAGATGTTTTAAGATGTTTAAGGCACAAAACTTATGGATGTCTTGACTATTTACAAATCCTGACATGCATGACCGGCTGGGGTATAGCTGTTAACAAGCATGTTGGATGTAGGAAATTTTGGGCTCCACAGGCACTTCCTGACCCCAAAGTTTCACTCATAACTAAGCCTCTTCCAAGGAGGAAACAAATCAGGTTTTAAGTCGGAGGAGAAACCTCCCAAGCCCTTCTTTCGAGGTCACTCGGACCTGGCCCAAAAAAGTTTGAAGATGTTTCAAAATTCATTGGGAACCAATGTCGGGTCCACTCTTGTTGACACGTGCGGATACAAAGGAAGTTTGGCACATGAATAGAGTTGGTTGGCCAAGAAAGTTACAGGAACTCACTGCCTCACTGGCTTGACGAGAGATCAGTTGCTGGATGTTGCTGGCAAAAGATTGAACACCAAAGTCGAACGGTTGACATGCGCATGACCAGAAGCAGCTGAGGTTGCCAAAAAGACAGAACACATGACACATAAATAAATCTAAATTATAAGAACAAATCATTGTTTTTGCGCCAACAAATGCTGGGCAACACTATCATCAGAGGCCCTGACCTTGTGACTCTGGAAGTGATCCGATCCCAGACGCCAAGTCTGCAGACTTCGAGTACTGTGGGGGTCAAATCGATACGCGCCCTGTTTGGACAGATTTGCTATGATTTGCTTGGTAATTCGAAGCTCCGATTTCGGGTTCTATAGATCTCAGTGAAACGGGAGATATAGATGATGATAGCTTGCGGCTCAATGCGATGCAGGGTCACGGGCTGGAAGATGCTGATATGCCTGCGAGTCAATGGAGACTTGGTGGAAAATGCAGAACTTTCTAAAGTAAATCAACCACAAATCCCACAGGCATACTAATGCAATTTGCTGGAAAAATGTTGCTATACTTCTGGGAGAAGCTGGCACGCGAACCCATTCCCAAACCCAAACTGCAACAAGTTGGGCAAAAACTCAAACGTCTCTTTATCGGTCAAACATGTTCTGAACAAAATCTGAATTGCAGAACTTTGAGAAACTCAAACATGCCTCCACTTGCTGCCTCAGAAGCAAAATCCTTGACAGTGGGGAAAAGACAAGGCCACAGGCCAGCTTTCCATCAAAATAATCCAAAGATCTTGGTAAAGATTGAAACCGATTCGAGCATGTCGCCTGTGAATGTCTTGGAGGGAAATTTTGGTCTCACAGCGCCTTTAATCAATTGGCCCGTGCTGTCGTTGGAATCGCTCCAGGTTGCGGCGACGCGCTCGGGTCTCTGCGTGCTCCGGACCATGCAGCTCCTGAAGAGAAGGCGGCACCGAGCGGGCTGAAAGTTTTGCGGATCTCGGGGTGTGGAACACATGTATTGGCAGGGCTCAATGATTTCACACTCGCGGCAGCGGGCAGCAAGCCTGAACTTGCAACACCGAACGCCATGATACCGAAAGCAAAAAGATAGGACAAATTACAGTATCAGATTATCAGATCAAAAATGGTTCTTGTTGCAAAATGTTGCAAAATCTAGATGCATGAATATACAGTGAAGACGTCCATTGATGGAATTCAACCAAAGGCGACCAAAACTTTTTGACGGACATTAGTTTGGGACTCCAAAATCCACGAGCAGCGACTACCAGCCGGACCAATGTCCAGCTGGGACTACCAGTTTCATAGCCTGGAGCCGTCCAAGGTCAGCCATCGACAGTTCCAGTGTGACCCTGGCAGACGCCTCCAGGCCACGCAGCTCGCGGAGAAAAAGCTGCCCTGCCTAGACGTGGTGCATGGCAGTGGTGGGTGGCTACCGGGGACCCGGGCTGATGACGCACCTTAGGACCTTGCGACCGCATCACTTAGAACTTGCAATATCTTAATACCGGTTGGGTATACCCAACAAGAATGTCACAAAACCTCGTTTCTATAGAAAGCATTTATAAAAAGAAAACCGAATAAAACATCATCTTTCGAATCTTGACAACACTCTTGCCAAGACTAGTGAGATCTCCTTTCAGGAAGGCGTCGCTGTTAAACCACTTCTTCAACTTCCATCAACTTCCATCAACTTCCCACATCTACACCCCCTCCAAGCAGAACCACCCCAAGCAACAACACAAGTCGACTCGACTGAGACTCCCCTCGCCTCTGCAACGGAGCCTTTCACCTCCAGAAGAATCGCCAAATTCCGCACGGAGGTGAGGGTGCTCGGATGCTCGGGGCCCAGCTGATCTTCTCGCCCACTCAGGGCCCTGCGATAAAGGCCCTCCGCCTGGCGCAGGGTTGCGGATGGATGACAGCAGGGTGGCTTCCTATGCCGTGGCGAGATGGGCCTTGTACTGTGATCCGCAACTGGTGAAAGGCAATGTGTTGGTGACGCAGTGTGGCCCATTGATTGTTCAAACATCAAAACCCGCAAATCTCAGAATCTGATCTGCAAGGGATGGGATTGTGGGAACCAAGAAGCCAGGGTGAAGGCTTTTGTTAGACCGCGTGCAATCTGGCACACATGATCGATGCATCAGCCAAAGCTCTATATGCAAAGCCACTTCTTGCAAAACAATGTTGATCTACCCCTTTCACAAAATGCAAGTTAAGGCCAATCTGGTACCTACAGCCGAAGCTTTGCGACCCTGGCACGTCCCGCTTGCTTGGCCCACGTCTTGTGGGGTCACTTCATCAAATTCTCCGGCAACAATGCTGTCGGACATTAAATTTCAAAGCAAACTTACCAAGACGAGTCCCACATGCAAAATCACACTTCTCATAAACAGACCTTTTAAATTGCTCCGGTGAAACTTGGAAACAAGAAACTCACCAGTCCCTTGTCCTGGCCACTCGAGAACTGCCTTCCCCTCGACACTTCCGCAACCTCTACGTGCCCCAAGCCCCAACGACCTCAGCCCGGCCTCCTCCAACTTGCCCTGTTCGTACAAGAGAACGGCCAAGCCGCTCACAGAGACGAGCGTGTCGGGGTGTTGGGCTCCCAGTTGGGACTCGTAGCCTTCCAATGCTCGGCGGTGGAGACCTTCTGCCTGGCGGCTCGAGGTGGAGCGCTGAGGTGTCGAAACATGAGAAGAGCCCCAGCTCAGGCCCCATGGGTCATGGAAAGGGAAGAATAAGCCAACAAAGGCCACCAT